CACTGGAAAAACATCAAAATGAGCAAAGCGACTTGGTTCGCGAAGGTGAATGGCCTTCTTGAGATATTTCAAAATGAGGTGAACCAAAGCATCTGGATACTCTTGGCTCTTCTTGGTCATGGACCCTTGGATTGGCGTACAAAACTGCCGGTCCTCAGGAGAGAGCCGCTGGCCAAGCACCTCATCTAGTTGTGGTATGTTCCCCAAGAAGTTCATGGATTTGATGATGGGCTTCTCATCAATCTGCGCACCAAAGGCCCCAGTGTCCAAAGTGATCAACCAAGTTTGAGGCAGGTTCAGTAACTCGAGGATTTCTTCCAAAATCCACAATCTTGACTTCTGGGGGTTCTCAATAAGGAAGAATCGCCCCGCCCGATGCTGTAGCAAGGCTAGCTCACAAACAAACTTCACCAGCTTCTTCTCGTGGGTCCTAATCTGACGCAGCAACTCGCGTCGGTCAGAATAATTGAGGTTCTCATTGAAGATTGACCAGAGGCGGCAATCAAGGCCCATGATCAGTGCCCACGGTTTGAAGCGATGCACAGCAGCCACAATCTCTTGTTGGAGAGCAGGATCATGAAGGTCTTGTTGGGGACCATGCAACCAATCCATTGGCTGAAGTGCATTGAGGTGATGGTTTCCAGCAAACATGGTAAACTTCGCACTGCCAGCAAAAAGCTCGAAAACGTCAATGGCCGGGGAAGGACGCTTCACGGTTGCAGGAAGGGAGTCAAAAAGGTTGCGCTCGGACTCCAAGACGTCCGCGTACTTGTTCAACTGGCCGGTGATTCTGCGACGGTGTCCCAGTCGTAGAACTCCTCTTCCGCATCTTCCTCTGGAACTGGAAAGTTGTGAAGATTGGACAGCAGATGCTGTGCCGCTTCCCCTGCTTGCGCCATCCTTTGAATCTGCTGGTAGTGCTCCTGGATGTAATAGCCCATGTTCTGATGCATGTCTTGCCTCATCTGCTCTTGTTCCTCCATTGACGTGCCTGGTGCCAAATCCTGGAACGCCATCTCCAAGACTGAATTGAGGATCTGTTGTTGTTGATCCGGAAGTGTCAAGGTAGCTGGGGTCGCTGATGACCTCGGAGCTGCCTTGGGCTTGGCACGATACTTGGGTGCCCCCGTCGTTGAGGACGGACATGGCAATGGCAGCGACCGTGTAGAGGAGCTTGCCGACCCACGGAAATCGAGCCAAGTCTCTTGTGCTTGATCCCATTTCCACTTCCTTCCGCATTGGTGGCACTGAGCGTACCGACCCGTGGGATTGCCGTAACGGCGAAAGGTCGGGTGCTGACACGTCATTGGATTGACCTCGAAGTCCAAGGCCGGAGGCACTGCCTGAATCAGCCATGATCTTGGCATCAGGCCCAGTCTCACAGCGCCCACCATGAAGATGAAGACGTTGCGCTTGAAGGCATTGAGGGCCTCCATCAAGCGCCTCCATCGGCACATCCATTGAGGTGGCTGTGAGAGCATGAGAACGCTGAGAAAGTTGTTCAGGAACTTCGTGTTGAACTGAAGTCCCAGCGAATTGAACCATCGAAGGCTTCGGAAAAATACAATTAGGGTCAGGCTCATTCCAAAAAACTGGATTCGAAAGTTCTTTCCACTCAGGCAACTCAACTGGATTGACATGTTGTGGAAACTGTGAAATGTCGATCACCAAATGCCCTGAGATCACTTCAATGGGTAGGGTGACCTTGAGACGCTGGCAGCGCAAGGTCTTCTTGGGCATATCAATGATTGCCTGCAAATCTTCCAAAAGTTGATGTGAACCAAGCAATGGGATGTTGGCTTCAAGTACTGCTGCCCCAAGAAGAAAAACACGTTGACTGCCAAAACCAACTGGAATATATGCTCTGCAGTTCGCTGTCAATGGGTTGCCTTTGCCAAACTGGAAAACATCTTTGCAGTCAATGGTATGCGATGACAACTTGGACATGTTCTGCAGACGACTGTCATGTGCGCGAAACCAGTCAGCTCCACAGCAGTTGCGCTGACATCCGGAATCCAAAATCAACTTCCCGATGAAATCACATGGTGAAAAAGCTTGTACTTCATGAACTTGAAACTCAGAAATGCCGTGAACCATGCCACAAGTAAACAAATTGCCATAGTCTTGGGGGTCAGAAACTTGTACTCTTCCATGTTCATGATGCACCACAGTCAACGCATGCGACTTTTGACTCGATGGCGGTCCAGGCTTGGTGTCGCTGCGAAAGCTCGTGGCATTGGGCTTCTGAGAAACTGGACAATTGCTGTCACCCTTCCAGTGACCCTTCTGTCCACAAGCCATGCAGTGAGAGTTCTGTTTCTTCTTCGCTATGGCGGCAGAAGACTGGGACATTGGTGGCTTTTTGGTAAATTTCCTTCCCAGAGTCAACCCTGATAGCTTCTTCGCTGTGACTGTTAGAACATGGCTCAAATCAGCCAAATCCAACTCGTCATCTTCAACAATCTCTTCCTCGCCGTTCTCGTCGACTGGATCTTGTTCCTGATCTTGAGACTGGTCTTCAATGACCTCCTCTTCATCTGCCGGCTCATGCTCTGCGTCTTCATCAATGGCTTCTGTGGCTGCGCCATCATTTGCGCCAGCGACAAAAACCTTGGTGACGGGACTAGATCTCTTAGAGAAAATTGCCCTAGTAGTTGAGGATGAAGAAGAAGAGGACGTAGTGCTAGTATCTTTGCCCTTTCCAGATCCCTTAGAGAGTTGGTGAATGGGAGGAGCACCACGAAAGTCAGGATATTGAAGAACCAAAGCCTCAGCGATCATTTCCAACTCCAGTGATTGATGAGTTCCTACCAGGATCATCCGTTGAGCTTCTGCAGACAAACCTGCACGGTCCAACAAACGTGAACCCAGTGCCTCGGAATCATAGGCAGAAGTCATTTCGATACCGACGGATCTCAAATTCCTCAAAGCACGCCGGAAACGACTGATGTAAGTCCGCATGACCTCACCTTGAAACCGCTTCAGCACTTCATACTCATGGATGAACTTGCGCTTCTGGAACACTGTGCGCTGCTCAAAAGGTGTTTGCAACTTCTGAAGTATCAGATCCACTCCAGCTTCGGCGTGCACCTCGGAAATTGACAGATGCTCAAGTTCTTGCTCTGCATCGCCAGTCAAAGACCCGTATAAGAGCAACGCCTGGTCTGCTTTGCTTGCAAATGGTTCCATTTGTATCTGCCAGATTTGAACCTTCTTCTTGAATTTGGCAAACGCTCTCAAGTCTCCAGGGTCATATTTCCAGGACGGAGGTGGCGGATGCTGTCCCGTCCTCCATCTCAAACCAGGTTCAGGGCCTTTCTTCAGACTCCACTCGCCTAACTCATCATCCTTCAGCTTCTTGATTGCTTTCGCAATGGGCTCTGAAGCGCTGGAAGTGGGGCAAGGAGCTGGAAGGCGCTCTGCACCATTGACGCCTTGGAGATCTCCAGAACGATGAAGTTGTCCCGAGTCATCATGCGCAGCACGTCTCACGCCTCCGGCTTCAGATTGCACGTGCCGTGGCAGGGGCTGGTCATGGAAACTGGGATCAACACAAGGGTCCTGAGTCAACACCTCAGATTCTGCCTGCTCACCGCCGCCAATATCAGGTTGTCCATCACCAGGGCCAGGATTCATCCGACGTCTTCGTCGTCGCCTTGCAGAGCGAGACGCTTCAACCTGTGCAGCGTGGGGCATGTAAAGCCAGGTGCCAGTGTCAGTCTCAGTACGCCTTGTTTGGTGCACGTTGTAGAAATCTGTTGAACCGCAATCCAGACACTCCCAACCACCGAGAACCGGCATGGATTCGCCGGAGTCACAAACTGCGCATCTCCAATCGGGAAACATCATCCGCTCAGCTGTATTGGGCTCAGCATAAGGCTCACCTGGAAACGTCGCGTCTGGTGACGCATCGGCATCGATCCTCTCAGCAGCATTCAGTGATGGGGTCCAGTCACTCACGAAAGATCTTAGATTGGGCAATGGAGCATCCATACCCAGAAAGGTCACCAGGCGCACGCAAGCTCCGGTGCCAACTTGTGAAAGGCCAATGCAATGGCCAAAATGATCAAAGGTGCATGGCAAAACGGCGCGGCCTATTTTCCACACAAGAAAGTCTTAGCTCAGGGCCCTACAAAGGCCCAACGATCCAATGGCCGCGGTCATGTGGCTGGTTTCAGTGATAGTGATGCCATTGCTGCCAGTCATGCCAGACATGTGCTTGTCTGTGGTGGAACGTGAAGGTCCAACCTGCAGGCAAAAGGTTGCATCACTTTGTCAATTACATTATTTCTTGGTGGATCACTGGCAAGCATATCCCCGTGTGCGGTGCCTACGGGGGGTTGTACCCAAATTTATCCCTGTTAAATTTCTTGGGGCCAAGGTTTTTACGGAACACATTTCCATTCCCAAAAAAGTGCACAATCTCCAGGCGCACATGGTACACAAAGAATATCCACAATCAATTTTGGGACCATGTCGGCAAACATCGCTGGGTAAAGTTTCAGTGGCCAAGGTCCTGTCTATCCCTTTGCAAGTCTCCAACAAACTCCGCTCCGAGAAACTCCACACTTTTCTTTGGCTGCAACCCCAAGGTCGCTGAATATGTTTCCATGGGACAACCCCCTGAACTTTGAAAATACCAAAGTTGGGGCTGAATAAATTTCCTAGAGGGATGATTTTTTCGGGCATAGGGTAATGTAATGCTATGCCAAATGACTTTATTTCTTTTCTAGTTCATGGAATGTGCACTTCTCAAGCATCAAGAAATCAGGCCACCGGACTGCAGAATCACATCTCAGAACCATTCGAGGTGCCCCGTTGAATTCAGCAACCATCTTACCAAAAACAATCCTGGATTATTTGGAATTTACCTCTCGTCTATCAACCCCCTTAAGGTTCCACCCCTTTAACCCCTTTAACCTGCTGATGATATCGTCTAACGATCCCAACCCCGCGAGCTTCGCCTAGAAAACAACCAGGCCATAGCAGGCCCAAGCATCCAGAGAGAAAATGGAGGTGGAAGGATTCTCCAGCACATCTCCAATACCTTGGCGCATATAGGGCTGAAGATGGCTGAAGCATCACTCAGCAGGGCTGATGAAGCTGGAGATGAAGGATAGCCGGGAGGATTCCTGGAATCCTCCAAATAAACTCATAGTGCCAAATAGGGGCAGCTTTTCCTGGTGAAAAACGCACTTTCAATGGTGGAGTCTCCATCTCATTTGCATTCAGCACCTGACTGCTGTCCAGCTGCCCAAAGACATTGCGATCGGGGAGGTGAGAATGGTACGGCTGAAGCTGTCCGTCCCAAGATCCTGAAGATTCTGGGGATGGTGATGTCTTAAAATGAAAGTGAGTGCAATTGACATGGTTTGCTGATGCGGAATCCTATTGTAGAGTTATATGTTTGTATTTCATGTAGAGTTATATGTTTAAATTTGTATTTCAATATATATATGTGTGTGATATGTGTGTGTGCACATATGCTCAACATTGTGTAGTTGGTTGTCATCCTTGGTTGGTCGAACTTCCGTGTTTTTTTGGGCATCCCACTCCGTTTCATCGTGTTTCTTGTTTTCTGGTCTCGGGGTCTCCTTGATGAGGCTGTTCAAGTCCGTAACCTGGCGCCATGGTGGATCTTGCCGTGCAGCGGAGGCGCATGTAGAAGCCCCTCTGAATATTCATAGATTATAGATAGATATATATATATAATATGATATAATATCTTTGAATCTCAACAACCAAAATATGAAAGTACAGGAAAAGAGAAACAAAAGGATGGAATATACTATGCTCAAAAGATTGGGCACAGATGCCTCACATGCATTCGCATGCCCCTTCGACCCTGCATAGCGGCCCGCCTGACCAACTGCCTTCAATTGAACAAAGAAGTTGCACAAGATCTTGAACACAATGGAGTACACTCCTCAGGTCAACACAAGCGTTTGCATTCCCAGATGTCCATGCTGAAGGAATTTGGGATGGTACGGCCGAATATTACTTCCCGTTTTTCAGAGTTAGGGCGGCTGGCGCCATGCTAGACCTTGTGGATTCCAGTTTTTTCCCGATGACTTTACTGTCTGCCCATGCAAGTTCCATACAAACAAGTCAAGAGAACGCGACATTGTCCCTGGTGATGCACTTCAGAGACCCATGCCACGCATCCCCCACAGAAAGTATAAAGCATAAGTCAGCATCCCTGTGTAGAAATCTGTGACCAACTTTGGGGTCTTTGGGCCATAGTCGTACAGTCTTGTCCTGTCATACTTTCAACCAAAGCTTTAACCATACAGCTGCCGAGCTGCCACGCAAATTTCCCATGGCGGCTTCCTTCGTGGGCGGCAAACAACGAGAAGCAGGTGAAAATTGCATCAACTCTCAATCCCTCCAACACCACCCCAGCTGTCATGTGCTCCTGTGACCAGGAGAGGATGCATAGACCAAGCATTCCACCAACAGTTACCACCACAATGACTGTGACAGTAAGCCAATCTGGTGGGCAACGGCTGCAAGGCTCATCAGGGCTGCTGCGTTGAAAGCCTCACATGGCTGGGTCCAGCTGCTGAATGATCTGAATGAAAGAGGCCTTTTGGTTTCAACCAGTTGGTGATTCAGGTCCCCCCAGCCTTCATCTTGCAGTTTTGTCCCATAGAGGATTCTTGGTCTTGGCAAAATGAAACATACAGGTTAAAACATGCAGTAGACTGCCAGCACCCCAACTTTTTCAAGATCCTCCAGATCAAAGTCGCATTTAAGGTCTGTTCCCACATCCAAAATGTCCACATCAATCGCACACCAATCTTCCCCCATCCCAAAAAGGCAACTTCTCCAAGGAGCCTTTGGTGCAACTTCCACAGAGCGGTCCATCCATGGCCAGTTCGCCTTCCACCACCAGGCAGCTGTTGTTCCCCAGACACGCCGAGCGCACAGAACATTCGAAGGGTCCAAGGGCATCGAAGGGCGCATCGCTGCGCCAGCAGTCCGCGCAAGTCCTGGAGCATGTGCATAGAATCATTGAGGGGTGTGATAAAACATGTAAAATCTATTATTTGGGCATATAATACTATACATAGAAAACATGTATACATATGTATACCATATATTACGTTCTAAGTGTTCTCTCTCTCTCTCTCTATCTCTCTTCATTGCTTTTAGACTGAAACATACTGAAACCATCTGATGCGTGTTGCCAAGTCACGACATCTTGGCTTCAAATTCTCGAGTCACCTGAGTTGGACATGGACGGGAGATCCAAAACTCAGGATCCTTCTCCAGAAATCCAGGAATGGTGACATGCAAACTGATGGTATCTGATGGTAGTGAAGGCCCTGCGAGACTCAAATGCAAATCCCCTAAACCTTCAGTGCAAGTTCATGATACAGTGAGTGGGATACAATGTGCATGTATACTAATGTATACTAATGTATACGTACGTTCGTGCGTGTTAGAGACAAAGAGGGCAAGCGATACTTGTGACATTTAAGTTTTAGGGCCTCACAGCCAGTGCCCAGCCGAACAAATCCGATTTATCCCAGCCAATCAAAAGCATCAGATGAGTTACATCCTCATCGCTTCCCAGCAAGTAAAAACCCTCGTCGGCGTAAAAGGACGTCGCTCCCGTACCATTGAAACCACCGTAGCAACTGGGACAGAAGCGGGCGGTTGACTGCATCAGTAACACCCTGTATGGCCCAATGGATCTTACGGTACAGTAATGCCCAGTACAACGTGGCAAAAACATTGTATTCGGAAAGTGCGGCCGAATAGGCAAAATAGATTCTACTTGTGATTTACATCATATGAATCGTAATGTGCACAGACCACTCCAACCCCCAACATGGGCTTGAGTGATCTGAATTATGCAGTAGCCATGTTGTCTCCTTCGATGCTTCCCAAGTCACTGGGCCCCAAAAGGGCACACTGCGCAACGTGACTGGTTTCGTAGAGGGTTGTACTCACCTTGCGGACATGCCTGCGCATCAGAGAACGACAAGGCGTCATCATGCCTTGATCTTCCTCAATGGCTCCCAACAGGAAGTCTGGCTGGTTGACTGACCAGCATAGACCAAAGTGAGATGACCAAAGGATACCAAAGGTTGAAGAGTCAGTGGCTTGCAATATACATCATTATGTAGATCATTATAATATGTGTATAAAAAATTATATATATATATATTGTATATATATATATATATAGTATACACATCCGCGTGTATGTCTGCCTGGCACTGAGGTGTGGCTGCTTCGGGGGCATAGCGTCCGGGTGGGCAAGCCTGGCTTTTGCAGCTTTTGCAGCAACGGAACTTCCACCGATTCCACCCCAGCCCAAAGGATTCATGTGGTAAACCCAATAAGATCAATAACCAACCATCCCCAGAATCAGCATAAATGGATATAAATGGGTTGTATAAGCCACCAACGAAAGGTAGCTTTGTATAAACATGTATAGACCATCCGCAAATGGTAGATCTATTCTTGGGTTCTCCACATTAAACCGACCATCTGGGGATGATTCAACCGTATTCAACCCACTACTTTATGGTAATCTTGGGACTTGTGGCACGCAAGAAGTTTGGAAATATCGTGTGCTCTCTGGCAATCAAACATGGCAATGGAAAGCCTCTGTTTAGTCCCATGGTTATAATTATATATATAATGATTGTCCCATTAACACCTCCATTGTACACTGGGGGTTCCCAGCCAGCCAGCCATGTTTGATTTAACACATAGCTGCGAAGCATCACATTTTTTTGATATCGGTAAATCAAAATCATCATATTTCATGGGCCATTTTCCATAGCAAACGACTAAATTCCCAGGGGGATCCAGGGGGAAGTGCTGCATCAAGCGCCTGACACTTGGCTCCTTCGCTGTCGGGTTCCGAACCCGCAGGGCAAGGCATACAGGACATCTGGTCTGGTGAAGGCACCGTGCCAGCATTCTCCTGGCGGGATCCATTGGATGAACAATGGGGAAGCCACCTCAATGGATAGGGATAAGCGGATGACAATGAGGGCAATGATGAACCAAATGGAGTACAAGAATTACGGCAAATGAAGGTAAGTGAAGAAGAAAGGAAATGAACTTGTTAATACTTGTTATATCTTATTATGAGTTATGACATGGAATTGACATGAATT